TGTATATTAATATGAATCAACTTAGTAGATGATAAAAACAAAGCCGGGGGGGGGGGTGAAGAGAGAAACCTTCAGTATGCCTGGTTTCAACCTAGCACGGTTTTAAAACTCAATTCTTATGAGCATTTGCTAATTTAAGCAGAAGTATCAGCTTTTAGATTAGACTTCAGCTTGTTCAAGAAAATGAATTTCAATATGGATTTTTTTCCATTTGAAAGTTAATGGGTTACAAGTTCAGCAAGAACAACAAATGAAAGTCAGGGCAATACCAGGTTTCAATCATCTGATGATCTGGTTCATCAACTCTTAACATGCTAAATGGCTATGTGATTCCAGACCCCTGGTCCTAATGCAAACGCCTATACGAAGTAACAGTGCTCAGGAGCTACATTTTTGGCGTATATTGTTTTGGAAACCAAAAGGTTTGTTGATTTTCTCCACTTTTTTCTTCTTATCTGTTGACGGTTCATGTTTCTTCCCTGTCTTCCATCTTTATTCTAAGTAGCTCATGCAACTGCATATGTGATAATATATTCAATAATTCAGAATAATAAGTTTTAATTGGTTTAGCTTGTCCCCATGATTTTCCCTTAAAGTCTCCTCCTTCCATGCAAGGAACATGGTTTGCTACTATTGTCATTTGGGGCCACTCCTGTATTCCTTGACAGGCAGTTGTTACCTACGTTCAGATCTTCAAAATATATGAATTAACCCATACAGAAAATGTTAATCCACTGCTAGACAAGGACAAACTGCTATCTTTTATGTAAGTTTTGATCATATTTTCCTCCCTCTAAAGACATAGGAAATATAGTCACAGATGATATAATCATTTCATTTACTATGAGTATGAACAAAAAACAGATCTTGAAAGACCATCATTTTTACATCTAATTAGAAACAATTTATGACTTGTTTATCAAAGAAAGCACAGTTTAAGAATGTGTTCTGTACGGCAATTCTATTTTTGCCTGGTAGACAGAATAAGAGGGGTAAGAATTCCCTCATTAAGAGTATAGATGAAATGGTGTGGTTGGAATAAACACACATGGAAAAAAAAACCCTTCAAACCAACAGTTTAAGAGCCCTGTTTAGAATTAAGAAAGTTGTATTTCTCAGTTCAAGTTATTAGTTTAAAGAAAGCTTAATTTTGAAGAAGCTTCTTCACAGTTCTCTCACTTTCTTTGTGCATATCCTCCGTGACAGTGTTGTCAAACATAAGTATTACTTTGAATCTTAAATCAGTAGTTATAGGACTCATTTCACCATTAAATACAATAAACTGGAAAAGTAATGCTTTTCCAAACTTGAAACCTCCCATATCAACAAGAAACTTACTGCCCCAACGTTTGCCATTTGTAGCTGGAGCGGCTTGATTACAGACTTTTAACATAGCCTACTCTAATTGTGTCCTCCAGTGATACAGCAAGAACTCAGAAAATTCAGCTTATTTACTTTGCTTGCTCTACTTTAAATTAAGATATATTTTAAGATCTAACAACTAAAGTATTTCTAGCAAAGCAGAAACTTACAGGACAAAACTCCTACACGTAGCATCAGAAGTTGTAGCTTACCTTATTTTCTTCCAAAAATTTCAATTTGATAGATACATCATTACGCATTTTGTCGTATTTCTCTTTATGCACTTGAAACAGTTGTTGTGATTGCTCAATCTTTGGCAGAGTGTTTGCATCACGAGGGCCAAGATTCAGCTCTTCTAGGTCTGTTCGATAGGCATCATATTCAATCCTGAGAAGAAAGAGGAGGAAAAAAAAAAAATCTAAAGGCAAAGCATCTCAAAACAGACCTCACACATAAAGCCAAATACAATAGAAGATTAACAAAACAGTGAAGTATGGAAAAAATGAAAAACCTGGGCAAGTTTTTCCCCCCCTCCTATTCATCAAGCAAAAACACCCATAAGTACATTGTATAAAGCTGCCTCAACAAGCACCCTCCCTCTTCTGTTCCTGTCTCAGCCACAAGCTGCCAACCCTCTGTCTTATGCCGGCTTCAGTGGTCAGAGCCTTTCCTGGGACATCTCAGCTTATTAATGCAGATAAAGCGAGTAATTTTTTTTTTTTTTCAGGTTATTCTTATGCTGTTGAATCAGTTCAGTGAAGAGTTTGCGTCAAGAGCAAGAGAAGCACCAAGAGCATGAGGACATCTCCTTTAATCAGACATCTGAGCAACGGCTCACTTCTACCGAACTCTATCCCTGAGTTTTTTCAGCATGCTCTAGGCTTCTCTGTGGGCATTAATCAGAACAGCTTTATAGTTCCTCCACAAATAGTTCTGCGAGAACTTGTCTGCCCTATGGATAAACAGGCTGCAAGAAGATGATGCATTATTTATACCCTACTGAGGGCCTGTCTTATTTTCCTAGGGAAGTCAGACTCCGTGGATCAATACCACCACTGAAGGAGATAAGGGAAGAGAAAGACAGAAGGTTAAGACTAACAGCTGGGTAAGTATTTAACCTAACTCTGCACCAAAGGTATATATCCCACTTCTAGATAAGAGAGATGAAAAGTATTTTCTGATTTACTCTTGTTCTCTCCAAATTATCTATCCTGGATACTGCTAGCAAAACCAGAACTGATGCTATGGTATAGGCTCTTGCCTGCAGATACCTGACAACATTTTAATTGAGCCAGCTAGTCTTCATATACCACTGTTAATTAAAAAAGTTATAAACCTCCTTGATATCCTTCCATATTAGACTGTACTATTTTATTACATTAATAGAGATGAAGCAGTCATACCTTCTTTCTCATTTTAATGGAAAAAATCAAAACGTCTTAAAAGTATTTTTTAATACAGAAGTTTGAATAGTCAGCTTTGTTTTCAAAAACATTAAGTAATTTTTTTTCAAGAAAGTTTATTTAAGCTTTCTATTCATCAACATATAGCATTTATAAGTGGGAAAAGCACCTATGGAATGTTAGTAGTTGAAAGATTGTACCGCTAAATTAATCTTCTGCTTTCCAGTGTTAAATACAAGTCTACCCAACACTGGATCTTTGCCAGATAAGCTATTTTTATATTTTAAAATATTATTGCAAGTGGATGAGACAAATGTAGCAACAACCTTTAACTTTTTTCTTCCTTCTCTTATGCCGCATGTGCTCCTTTGTTCACAGCCATCTAGCGCCTGACCAGGTAAAGCGACAGACAACAGCCAGAAATCGCTCCAGGGTCCCGGGCAGCCCTGCCCAAAGCCTCCCTCTTCCTTCCATACTACTTTGTAGCTTTCAAATAACAGAACCTAGCATAACAGCGTCTGATAGATGCCAATTTTAATGGAACAAACGAACCTATTTCTGGCTTTTCAAATCTGCTTTCTCACAAACAGACAAAAAAAATGGCAACAAGTCAGGATTACAAACTGGTTATAAAAAACAACTTCTCAGTTGGTATAACCGCTCCAAAATAAAATACAACATTTTCAGAGGTAAAAGGAGTTATAATATCCACAGGGCTCTTTCTGATTCTCATTGCCACTATGATTCAGGCTTTATTTAAATAATGTATTACTTAATTCCAAAAAGGAAACAAACCAATACAGACTTGATAGAAGAAGGGAACAGAGATGAATACTGAAGTGCAACTGGGGACAGGGTAGAAGAGGTACAGAAATAAATGTAACCTATTTTCACGTTGCAAAATTATAGACTGGCCATTTAAGTGATTTAATAATATTTTAACCTTTGTGAATTATTTGCCTTATTGAAATGGCAAAATACTTGATGTCTTTAATGAACAGAAAGGGAAAGTAACAAAGGTATTTCAGGAGGGAAGAGCCATATATTGAAAATGACTGGCAAGAACAATCTTAGCAGATGTATTTTGTATAAATTTTCAAGGGGTACCTGGAAAATGTGTGAACCGATTTTTTAATACTTTAATTTAAAAAATAAATCAATATTTTACATGCAGATTAATTCTGCCTTTCACACCTTTTGAAAGCGTATCTAAAAACATCTAAAAAATATCTAAACAATAACTTACTATTTTGCTTATAAATAAAGCATTAGAACAGAACAATCAAAAAAAAGGGGAGGGAAAGAACTTCAAAACTCAAGCAGTTTGCAATTTTTGACCTAAATAAAAAAAAAAGTCACAAAAATAATATGCACAAACTACATCCTTTGGCAAATTAAAAGAAGCATACTTTATCCTATTAAGTGAAAGAAAGTCAAAATGGAACCAAGCATCAGAAAGGACCACAAGTCCAGGCCCTGGCAGGAGACGGGAACCTGGCTTTAGAGTACTATGCCATACCCAAAAGTTACCTTCTCCAGGGCAGGAAACCCATTATCTACTGCTAGGTATTATTCACTCACTAAAAAATTTCTCTTTTATTTTCCCCTTTCCAACCTAGCCTACAACTTCTGCATAAAGATTGAAATGTGAATTGCACATATTGTGCATCAACAGAAGCACAAGATTTAATGTTTTCCAGTCAAAGAAATTATTTCACATATTACAATGTAGCTAAACAAAAGGATTAATATCTTGCACTATTACGCTGCATAGAAAGCCACTTTAATCTAGCAGGCAGGAAAAAATAGCTGTAGTTACTCTTGGATATAGAGCTAACAAAACAGAACGTTTACAAAACATTTGAAGATGTGGGCAATGAGGCAGTTAACTGGAAATCCTAATTATATGAGAGTTGTGTTATAAGGGTTTTTTCTGACAGGTTAGTCACTCAAACACAAGGACTAAGCTGATACAAAGTCTGTTTCCTGAAGATTAGTTTGTAATGAAAATAGCTAGACATGAAATAGCTACCTGGCACTTTCATACTGTTTCACAGTCAATAATGTATCCTCAATTGTTTTATTCACCAATGTATTCACACTGGCAATAAAAAAGTTAATAGCCCCAAGAAGAGTTTCTCCATTTTTAGCTAGAAGTTTCTGCGTATCTGCATTGTAGCCAAACTCCTCCTATAAACAAAAAGCAGAGAAAACAAAACTGTAGATCATTTAAAATCATAACATTCATCAGTAACTATATAAAAAAAAAATACAAACACATAGATGTGGAAGTTCTGTCACTTCTGTTTGGGTATGGTTATGATTAAACAGATATGATTTCAATACAATATTCAGCTCACAGTTTTTATGAAATCTCTTTCACATCAGTAAAACATGGTTTACAATTTTGTCACCACGCGTGATGTTAAATCCTATTTTGTAATGTGATTTTTCTGCACTCGGAAGTCTTGAATGTTACTTGAAAGTAAGCGCTAATGTAATCTTTACATTGTCACTCAGAAGAATTTTAATCCAGCATCTCTCATGTGGTTGTCTAGGTAATGCCTTAATACCAACAGAGACACCGCTACATTAAATACAGGAATATAACTAAATTCACAAGGGCACACGGCATTAATTAGCTATTAAGTTTTATTCTTACATTCTGGAAAAGAGCACTGCAAAAAAACCCCAACATCTCTTACAGTTTAATAGTCTGTAAATAATTGAAGAGCAGAGCATTATAATGGATAGCAAATAAAAATTATAATGTAGCTCAGTCATAAATTTTGAAGGGATAAGGGCGAAATTATTTCCAAGGCACATTTGGATATATGTTTGTTCATGTCTCTGTTAACAGCAGTGTAAGCTCTGACCAAGGCTGCAAAGATTTTCCTAACGCATGGATGCCAAACAAGTCTAATTATTATATTTATGTCATCCATATGGCATCTTCATATTCTGCAGATGGGAGTTCTCACAAAAGAGTATAATCTCTGGTTGTAATGGCTGTAAAACACACTAGGTTCATATTTGGAACTTGGTCTTTTTAGGCTTGCACACGGCCAACGACTGACTCAGAAGTGCCGTATTCTCCCAGTTTCTTTTCATCTGTCTAGAACATGAACACCAAAGCCAAATGATATTTCATGTTAGCGTTCAGGACTTCATGAGGGTAAGGGTAACGGGCAATGATAAGGGAAGAATCCTCTAGAAAAGGAGGGGCAGTGGAAGTGAGCAATTTGAAGAAGAAAAAATGAGAACTTAGGGCAAGTTTTCATGAGCTAAGCCGTATAAACACCGCTGAAGACCCGTCGCCTTTGCTTTGCACCGCTGCTTGGGTGGCAAAAGCAGTCAGCCAAATTGCTACAGACCTTGCTGAAATAAAAAAAAAAATAGTCTTTTTCAGCTGGTTTTGCTCTAACATTGCCAGCTACACAGCAACACAAGCACTAGCACAGGGAAGAAGTAGGGGCATAGAGGCAGAGGCATCAGCAGTACGACTGCCCCTTTCAGCAGTGTTTAGTCCCACCTCTTCCCTCCTGCAGGCAAGACCACAATTAGCTTTCCAGCTGGTCCTCTGACCCCGATCACCGCAGACCCAAATGAGCAACACCACCAGTCCAAAGGAGGGGGGTAAGAAGGATGGGACTGCAGGGGTCCACAGCACTAAGAAACATGCTAGCCACCAAAACCGTCCTTCTACTGGTTCATACAGTGTCATACAAAAACTTTGGAGTTTTGTCCATGACCTCTGCGGATACCTCTTACGAAACAGACAGGAAATCCTTTCTTTATCAAGAGTTTGCACTCAGTTCATGCTCTATGCACAGGTCAATTAAAACTGGAATTCAGCTGTCCATATAATTAGAGGCACATGAGCCTGGAACCAGGAGTTATCTTTGCATCCAAAAGAGAAACAGCAAAACATTCACATTAAATACCACCTCTGCAGATACCACATCGAGATCACCTTTTGTTATCACGCATAAAATAAGAAATATTACCTTAAGAAGTGGTGTAGGGTTTGGTTTTTTAAAACTTATATACTGTTATCACGTTAAACATTAGAGACTAACTGTTCAGAAACTTTACTTTTAGTCTTGTACAAGTTTTAGAGGCAACAATGCTATCCAAACATCCAAGAAGAACAGGCCAGGCTACAGATGGTAATACAGTACAGATTAAACAGAGGGGAAACACAAAGAGGAAAGAGAAACATCAGGCAAGTCTCCAAGAGGCAAAGGTTAGATAACTTTTATTACAGCAGCAGAAACCTTTATTTGATTTGCATCAACAGCCCCATTCAATGATCTACACACAAGATGAATGACTGAAACAAATTCCAAGACTTGTACAAGATGCTGAAAGAACCTGGAAGAACAGTATTCCCATTAGAAGTTACAAGCTATTCGTGGAAAAAAAACCATTCATTAAACAAGAGCATGACGCCAGATTTAATCCAAGTTTCAGAAGAAACATCCAGCTTCAGCACATACTTGATAACAATCACTAAGTTCTGCCACAAACCACATGCCCATATTTGTGTCGAGAGTAAACTGATTATTAAGAACTTCTTTTAGCAGATTATTTAATTTCTCAGCTGCTAGAAGTGCTCTACTTCCACAGATTTTCATCTGTCAGACTGTAATATTAAAAACTGCTGTACTCCAGCGCAGGAGTCTCAAATTTTTTCAGCTAGCTATCAGTTAAGGTTCCTCTGTGCAAGCATGAACTCCACCTCCTCCCTTAAAACTCAACGGGAATACACAATCATGAAAAGTGAAAAAACAGACAGAGGCTTTAAGTTTAATAATCACAAAGGTAATTTAGGCTGTTTTAGCAGCTATGTTTCAAGGAATCATTAAGCCCCTTAATACTGGTTTTCCAAAGGATCAGTAGCAGTATCAAACTGCTTTAACTTCAGAATTACAGAACAATCAATGTAGAAGCAAGCCAGCTACTATGTTTTATACACAACATCTACCTTCTCTCTCCTTACAGCAGACAGTTTTATTATCGGCAACAAGAAGTGCCGGTGTCACATAAACTTCTAAACCAAGGAATCATAACAACCCAAATGCAGATATCTACAGATTGCCTCTCTTGCTCAGAAACTCCAAACAACATAAGAATGTAGATTAGTCCTATTAGTAGCAAAATTCTGATAGAAAAAGGACTTTGAGATGAAATCTCAGTGCTTGAATATGCTACAGAAAAATAATTTACCCACATTCGACGTGCACAAGTAATGTGCCCTATTCTACTTACTCCCAGGCATATTCCTCAAAGACATCCTGTACCTGAAATGACGCAACGCTCTACAACATTTTGATTTCATTAGAAGCAAAATGAATAGTAAAATGCGTTTTCTATACACAGTTGTCAGTTCTTGAGTCCAACCATTAACTAAAGGCAAACATTTAAGAAACAAGAAAGAACTACAGAAACTTCAATGATTTCCTATGGTTTTAAGTTAATTACATATGCTTTTAACACAAAGAGCATATAATATATTGTTAACTACAATGTTTAGAAAAATAGCTGCTAACTACTATATACCCTGCATGAGTCAATTAGGCTTATCTTCATCTCTGCCATTTTATTTTTTAACACTATAAAAGTCTTACATGAAGTTCCAATGATTTCAAACTCAGGTCAGCAAATGCATCTCCAAGTTGCCTTTGGGTATGTACCATCTGGAAGAGTTGTGTGGACAGCGTCTGTGCCAGTTTCAAGATATTTTCGTATTTTTTTTTGTTATCTCTCAGTATATCTATCTGAGCTTCTAGTTCCAGATCTACTGTTCTTGAGCCACGACCCAATTTTTCAGAGATGATCTGACGTGTACACTGGGGAAAAAAAAACTTAAATTATAAAGAATCAAGTATATTCAAGACAACACAGCATACACCCATTTTCAGCTTCAAGGGACATATAATTACACACAATTCTTTCACAATCACCCCTCCCAATATAAGTTTGCACAACAAACTGAAAAAACAACACACTCTTTAGAAGTTTATCAGGACTCAGCAAGAACAGTTGGACAAGTCTCAACTCCTACTAAGATGAATATTCAAGTTAACAAATCAAGAGCATAACTAATTGTTTCTCAAGTAAAAGAACTCTTATCTCTTTTTAGGTTTGGTGAATCTCATTAAGTTAAAAGAAGCAATTTAGCCCACTGCATTAAAGTCAGTTAATGGGAGTATCACTAGTTCTGCATAAAAATATCTAGTTAGTGATCTTCTGGGCTTTGTCTACCAACCACCCAATTCTACATCATCCATGTTATGTTTTCCAAAAATGTTATTTTTGGGGTTTATTTACGGGGCAGGTAAGGAGGTGGTTTTCAGCATGTTTTTTAAAGCTGACTGGGAAACTGGGAACTCCTACTGAGAAATATGTAAAACTATTAAAATGCATTTCTCATTATTTACACATAACGCTATAAAATGGAGCTGCTTGTCTGAGAAAGACTTACTATTTCTTTTCTATCACAAAACAAATTCTTAACAGATTTGCAGTTCATTAACACAGTGAGCAGAAAACGTGCTGTTACAAGGCTGTAGATGCTTTCGCCCAGCCGATGGCTGTGACAGCTCAGGCTGCTACCACATTCCACTTATCGGTGACACCTTCTCTGCCAGAGATTTGAGCCCAGCTTGGCAGTGAGCCTCCCAAGATGCACATTTGGGTTTCCCTTGACTGAGACATAGGAGAATCCATTTGCAAAGCAGATGTGTAGCAAAGCCACGCAATTTCTCTAAGGAAAGCAGGAATTATTTACTGTTACAGTAAGTTACTTGAAGTTAATCTGTGGTCCCAAGAGGTGAAGAGATAACCAAGTTACACATACAAAGAATTACCGCTAGAAACAGAATTACAAGGAAACGAAGTTAGTAGTCAAGGCCACAACTACTCTGAAGGGACTTAACCTAAGTGCAAAGCTGCTATTTTGTTAGGTGAAACAATGCTCAACCCTATCTTATATCACATTCCCCAAATACATTACAGCACTGGATTTCCCAGGGTTTCCAAATTCAAGGACTTTAGTTTAATCCAGTTTTTACTTACGTCCAAAGGAGATACACATTTAACCTGATAGAACTTTTATGTCCTTTCTAAATTTAATAGGCAAACACAGGAAAGACTCAAGAATGATCAAGCAGAACGAGTCAGTCATAGCTCATAAGCTTTAGATTAGAAGGTACAGACTATTTGGGGTACTTCATTAGATTCAACCAATTAACAAGAAAGAGCACAGCTAATCTAGGAGACATTTGTCTGTCAAGAATCAGAAATTTGGGAGAGCATAACAAATCGTATCAACACAGAATATAACTTTACTACCAAAGTCTGCAACAGAAATCGCAAAATACAGCTCAGGAATGAGTGTGGTCAGAGAATAAACAAGCATTCACTAGGAACTAGTGAATTGATGGACAAATTTTGGCTATTTTCCAAAAAAGCTGAGAGACGCACACCCTGCTATGGAAATGCAAGAGAAAAATCTGAATCATGGAAGGCAACATTTTTTGGAAGCAAGAATAAATTACAAAGGAAGGAATTATTTTCAACCAAGGAGTATTTGCCTCAGAAGTTACAGCAGAACACCTAAAAAATGTCAGCAGTGACAAGTGAGGAAAAACTAGCAACTGGAAAGACTGACACTGCATACTTTGCTAAACTGAGATGTAGCTGAAGTTGAACACTGAGACCGAACAAGAATAACCGAGAAAGAAGATGCACTTATCTATTTTGATTTACTCTGGTTCTAAGCGGACTAGTACAGACACACACGTTGCTATATATTCCCACTAGCGAACAGAGAAAAATACACACATTAATTCCATTTTGCTTTGTTCTAAAAGAGTATCTCTAAAGAACACTGTCCTGAATAAGACCACGCTCCTCAACAAGAAGTCACACAAGGCAAAGTTTAAGAAAAGCAACTCTCAAAGAAAAAAAAAAAAACACCAAAACATATTTAAGAGAAATAAATTTTAAATCACATGTGAAAAGATGAGCAGAGACATTACTGGAGATGTCTCGGAAATAAACGTTCCACTAGTAGGCCAGTATTAAAGAGAGGCTTGTAAAAGAGGTATATTGGGGTTTTTTTCCTCAAAGCTTAAGAAGTTGTATGAAGAACAAAAAGATAAGCTTTTTATTAGAATTGCTGAAAGTCAAGAACTCTCTCAACTTTCTTGTGCCCACGTCTTTTTGCTAAACTGAAAATGCCTTTGTTATCCAGAGGGGGAGGCAGGGGAAGGGGAAAGAACAGAAAACGCTCTTGCCACTAGGTTACAGAAAGAAGGGCAACTTCTTTTGACGCTAACTCATGATTACTAGGCAGAGTAAGATTGGAGAGAGTGAAGAGGGACAGTAGTTGCAAAGGCAACAGAATAATCGTATCAAGTTACAAATTACGGGAAAAAGTTAAATACAGTCTATGAAAATTCACGGTTAGGCTAGACAGAAGAGCAGCTTTAACCTCCTGTGACTTTCCAGTAGAAACAGTTTCTTAAAACAGAAACAAAAGTGGGAGATAACAAAAGTAATTGTGTCTCATTCACAAAAATGCATACGGGACAAAAAGCAAGGTACTCAAAATACATGAAGGCATACTTAATCATCTCTTCACAGATGGGCATGACTTCTGAACGTATCCAATAATTTAGATTTCGCAACTCCTGATACAGACACCGTGACAGAGGAACTACTCATGTCAGATTCCTAAAGAACTTCCTAACAGCAAGTTCCACCACTATCTCCACTTGCAGATTAATGTCTGATACACTGAGTAGCATGGCTTTCAGCTCAGAGGGGTTCAACTGCTGACTTCCCTCCACTAACCATTTACTCCAGCCCTTTATTTCTGCATCTTCTAACCTACGCTCAGTTAGCTACTACAAGATAAGGAGGAGAGTTCTTCCCACGACCTTCCTAATGGGAACCAAAGCAAGCCAGTATGTCCACAAACTGAAATACTGTCCTTAATCAAATTAAATATGCTTTTTGTATGTAGCCTACATATAAAGTGTTTTCAAATGTATGGCATCTCTGAGGACATTTGCATAATGCTCCCTCAACTCAGAAGGAATCCAACAGCTCTCTCTGAACAATCCTATTCCTCAAAAAAAGCCATACAAGAAGTCAGTATGGGACTCTAGATCATAACTGACCTATCTCCTTAGGCATATTTGGGAAACAACTTCAAGCTTATAGATTTCAAGAAAACAGATGCATTTGGTTTTCTGAAAGTGCTATTCTTTGTTTGCTATGCTATAACTGGTAGGATTTCTGGATTTCAGGAAGGGGGAGGTTTAAGCCAAGAAAGAAATCTAAAAATCCAGACTTTGCAAAGACTACTACCAAAGAAATAATGTTCTAAACAAGGATCTGAGACCACTTTTCCCAGCATTTTTCACTAGCCCTCTGGCTATTGCTTCACGTAAGTGGGTTTACAATCATTCTACGATTGAGACATGAGGATTTTTTTGGTGTTGTTTTCCAGATTAAGGCACCAAAAAGAGAGAATAAGGTCAAGTCCTCTCCTATTTAGTTGTGGTATAGCAGATTCAATATCAAGAGTCAATGTTTCTTAAACAGAGAACTTTAAAGAACAGCTTCAGCTGAATACCACGTATTCTGACTGGACCACAGCACGCTCCAGAAGTAGCTGACAGATTTCTGCAGTTGCTACAAAATTTAGATTACAAGAAAAGTAGAAATTCTAAAAGCCAGTTAATTAGACATAAAAAAGATGCAAACTTCCGATTCTAACACAAAGAACCGCATAAGCATTTGCTAGTGGGTAGAATGCCTCCATCCCTGCTTCTCATCCTCACGGGGGAGGAAGTCCTTATCTGGACTTAAGAACACTGGAGGGATTCAGATCTGCGTTTTACAAGGGAAGTTTTTTCCACAGATTCTTCTTTTCTTCATGGTTTGATGTAGATCCCACTGATGCACAACCCACCTGTCCACACCTTTGTCATTTAAGTTGCAGGAATAACAAAAAGCTATTTTTCAAAAATGGTCTTTGTTTAAAGCTCCTGATAGTAATGTATTCCCTGACAATCGTTCCTTATCTGATGCCTTTTTAGTGAGAGTCACTTCTGGCAAACTGGTGTGCTTTAAGCACCTTTTCTTTATTCTTTTGTTGTTATTTTATTTTCTTCAAATCCCAAATGATCACAAAGAAGGGCCATATAAGAGTAAAACACACATGAATCGAAGCAACAATTCCAACACTAAGAAAAAACAATCAGCCAAGACAGAACAAAACCATCAGAATAGCAATTCATAAATATGGAGCTTGTGGATGGGCCTGACATTTTCCCCATCAGCTACAATTCTATTGTATCAGCAATCAACTCAAAGATAGCAAAAAGATTTAATTACAAGCATTAGTGCTGAAATCTGTACATTCTGTATGTTGAAGGGGACATTAAAAATGGAACATTCTTTACCTTGTTAAATCAATAATACCTATGAAAGATTTTCCACTTAAAACCAGGGATTTAAAGAGGCTTACAAAGAACTTCTACACTTGGAAGAAAACTAAGCCTTCGCTATGCATTCTTGCTTATGCTCACTGCAACAACAGATTACTTTCATACAGTAGTATAGCACTTTGAAAGCTTTAGTTCAATCTAGTAGCAAACTCTTTTCTAGAATACATACATACACACAAGTATATGTCTGCATACCTTATAAGTGTTTAGGCTCCACTTTCTCACGAGTTCCAATTTCTCCATTGCTGGATTCTTTACTTCATCTGCTAACACAACAGGTCCACTCTTCTGCTGAGCTCTGCCCCCTATGCCAGACACAAAGCAAATCTTCAAGGCCTTGGGTTTTTCATTTTAAGGGATTAAAAGCAGGCATAGAAGATTTGTGCAACTGCACATGCAAAAGCAGAGCAAGGTGACAGTAAGAAGACAAATATGCAGATTTTCAAAATCAATTCCAGAAAGAAAGAATTATTTTAAAACTGATATAAAGTACGTACATATCTCAGTATTTCATGTAGTAATAGGCTGAATACAGCTTACCTGAATGCACGGAGTTTTACTAACCAACACTAAAACAGCTTTTGAGACATGTTTATTACTTAAGCTATGTTTTAAAATTCCAACGGTTGAACATCCTCTTGGATTTAGCCAATCTAAAAGTCTGTTTACAACCTGCAGACCATTAAATGAAAATTATCGGCATATAAAAACTGTTGTCACAGAGCACAAACTAACAAATTTCAAAACAGATTTTTTTATCTTTTCCAATGAACGTCATCCTTTCCAGAAGATGTGTTCAGCCAATATTTAACTAATTTAATTCAGCTTTATTAGCTCATTGTATTAGGAATAATTAATTCTACAAACCACCAGTATAAAAACAGCAACAAAGAAAAGATTTAAAGCAATAAATTAAAATATCTGGGGCCAATCATCACACATTAATTACCAGTACTCAGCACTGTCAAGCTAGTACAGGATATCACGTGGATTCTAAGTTTTAATTTTGCACAAATAGTTCCTAGTGTCCTAAATAGTAAGAACTGCATATCACTACCACTTTTTAAGCAACATTTTTATTTATTCATGTACAATTTTGACTACTCCTGCCTCTAATCCCTATTGCTCCTTGCAGTCACCTTAGCCTTCCCAGGTTATTTACGTAAATAAGAGTTTGGAAAAAAGTCTATGCAGATGCCTCAAGATACTCCTTTAGCATCAAGCTCTACTATGTTCTTTACGTCTTCAAAATGCTGTGCAAACATTAAGTAATTAATCCTCTCAACACCCTTATGAGGTAACTGAATAGATTTTCTCTTTTTATATAGGAGAAAACAGACAAAGATGTTAAGTAATTTGCCCATAGGCACAAAATGAGGCAAGTGGCAAAGCCTAGTTTGGGTGTTTATGAATTCCTAATTCCTCATACTCTCTTCTACTGGAATATGTGATCATTCTGGCAAAAAATGCCAAAAGTTTCAGCTGTAACCTCAATAAAAATTTTGGTTACTCCCATTTTAGCTACTGTTTGTTATTATTAATATTTGGTAATTGTTTTTTAAATTTTATAGAGCAAAAAGCAGCATACAGAAAGGAAAGCAGAGGTTACTTTGTGAACTGTTAAAAGCCAGAAATGAGAGCCACCAAAAAAACCCCTTAAGTTATATTTCCAACTAACAGTAAATCAAATTATTAGAGACATGGAGGAGTTAGTACAGTGTCAGCAGAGACAAGGGCGTTATCCATTCAGTGCTATGATACCTGTGGGAATAATTAAATCACAACCTTGTCCAGCCAGTCTGCTAGCTGCTGCACTGCTAGGAGATATAACAGATGATTTGGGTGATGCTGAGGAACCTGAAAAGGGGACATAATTAACCATGAAAATCCATCATCTTCCCTTAGAAGGCAATGTGCACTTTTACACAGATAGGGTTTTTTTCAAAACAAAGAAACATTTGCTTCAGCAACACACTAAATAGAAGCATTCACTGAAAAGTTGCTGGAACTCCTGATGGAAATGCTTTTTAAGAGGTGCAGCTGTTCATGTGAACTACTCCAAGTTTTCATGATTTAATCTTTTTCTCTAGGTCATGATGCCAAACTTTTTCCGTTTTTTTGTGAGAGTAATCAAAATACAACCGACAGCTTCATCAAGTAAAGTATATACTATCAACAGAAAATTCCATGGAAGATTGTTATATACAGCTTCCAGAGCTGAAACCTCCTTTTTCAGGTCTAGGTAGATTGCACTCTGCACTGTCACTGAATGGTACTCACAGCATTAAGGGGTGAAGTAAGCTCTGAAATCTGTGCCAATTTCAGGTATACTTGATTAACATCTGCTCCTAAGTCTGTGTAAACACACAGCAATAAGCTATCCTGAAGATCACACGAGCCATTAGTTGTTAAGGTGTGTAATCTCCTTCCCAAAAGAAAGATTTTACAGCACTTGCTTACTCTAAAAAAAAAAAAACAACAAAACAAACCCAACTTCAAATGACCTGCACCACGTGTGTTCTCTAAGCTGTTTTAGGATTATGCTTTTCAGAGCTTTGCAACTCTTTCATATCACATAAATGAAAAGTGGCATTCTTATGAAGTTTTCAGGATTTAAAAACCAACCAACCAAATTAGCTTTTTCTCTGTAGTCATGAGTAATCACCATATTGGGGGGGGGGGGGGGAGCTTTTATTGCTTTTGCTGAGAAATTCCGAGATACTTCAGGGCTGACAGTGTGCTGGAGGAAAAGGAAATCAAACCTAAAGTTCAGCAGTTTCAACAAAATTTAGTTATCAGTAACACCAAAAATATCACTCAAAGTAACTGAATCAGCAATCAGCTTTTGCCTTTTTAACATACTATAGAGCACTACTAACATGGTGTACAATTAATCCAATGATTTGGATCCTACTGCACAGAAAAGATGTGTTAGAAAGATAGCTCACTTGCTGTGTCCTTCTGTGGCGATACATCGCGTAAGAGCTGCAACTAGATTCACCCAGGCATAAAAGTTTGACTGCAAGATCCTGCTAAAGGCCTAAAGACTGAATCACTTGAGCAAGCAAGCTAAGACAAGCAGTTTAAAAAATCCTTATCATTTGACAGAGTATTAATGCAGCCTTATGCATGCTTCATCATTCAACATTCCCCAAATCCTAAAAGCCCTTCCCCTCCAGTATTGTCTGCTTTGGGTGTCCTTATTAGGGCTTCATTTTTCAATGCAAACAGAAAATAGAATTTTTAGAAATAGGGCAATCATTCTACTTTTGTAGAATTTTTTGTTTTATAAGAAGCCTTAGTTTCTACCACTTCTCTCTCTTTCTCTCTCTGATTTGGTTAGAGCATTAGGAAAAATCTGAAGAAAATATCCTTGGAGGAGAACTGTGATATCTAAAGCGTTAATAATTATGCATCCAAAGCTCATCATTTGTGTGCATAACTTACTACAGAACATTTGGATTTCAAACATATCAGTGTAGCCCGACACACATCTTAGTTTTTCCCTTACAGGCTAATGCAGTTAACAGCTGCAACAGTTATCCTGCAAATAGAATACAAAAAGGCAAGAATGGTGAGCAGTTTGCCATCTGCCCAGTTTTTAGCTAGATATTTTACTAACCTCAAAGACTTAAAGAAACCACAGCATTCACTTTGTAATATATGTAAAGTACAGCATGTAAATCACTGTTTTCATAAGCACAACATTTTACCAAGCAGGAAATGAAGCAAAATGTAAATTAAATCTATGACTACAAAGAGACTTATTTTCACAGCTACTCATTTAAGATCATTTCAAACCTTTCAAATTCAGAAATCATTGAAGATACACAATTCATTAAAATACCACTTTCACATACTATATCGTGGCACTCTATTGTTTTTAGACAGATGGGAAACGCTGACATTACTGGCTTGTTTATCACTTTGTATTTCTCATTGTTTAATAGAATCATAGAATCGTCAAGGTTGGAAAAGACCTCTGAGATCATCGAGCCCAACCTGTTAACCTAACTGCCTGGTCCATCTCTAAACCATGTCCCTAAGCACCGCATCCACACGTTTTTTTGAATACTTCCAGGGACTGTGATTGCACCACTTCCCTGGGCAGTCTGTTCCAAGGCCTAACCACTCCCTTCGTGAAGAAATTTTTCCTAATATCCAAGCTAAATCTCCCCTGGCACAACTTGAGGCCGTTTCCTCTTGTCCTGTCGCTTGTTACCTGGGAGAAGAGACCGACCCCCACCTCCCTACAGCCTCCTTTCAGGTAGTTGCAGAGAGCGATAAGGTCTCCCCTCAGCCTCCTCCAGACTATACAACCCCAGTTCCATCAGCCGCTCCTCATAAGACTTGTGCTCTAGACCCTTCATCAGCTTCCTTGCCCTTCTCTGGACGCGCTCCAGCACCTCAGTGTCCTTCTTCTAGTGAGGGGCCCAAAACTGAACACAGAATTTGCAGTGCAGCCTCACCAGTGTCGAATACAGGGGCACTATCACCTCCCTGGTCCTGCTGGCCACACTATTCCTGATAAAAGCCAGGATGCCATTGGGCTTCTTGGCCACCTGAGCACACTGCTGGCTCATGTTCAGGCAGCTGTCGACCAACACCCCCAGGTCCTTTTCCACCGGGCAGCT